TACCTTTTAATCCTATTTAAAGCATTTGTAGTGTTTTTATTTACAGAGCGAGAAGTAAGTAGTCATAACTGTAAATTACATGATGTTTACACTAAGTGTTGTGAATGCAGTATCTCTGGTTTAGAGGTGAAAGTTCTGGAATGATTCAGAAGTTTATGCAGGGGTCTAGCTGCTAGTTGAGTTAACACATGGAATTTTGCTATTTTTAATGTCTGGAATGTCTCGGAGCTTTAATTGCAGTGGTCAACTTTGTGAATATAAAAGGTTATTTGTGCACTGGAGAATCTCTCAAACCATGTTTTAATAGTATAGATAAAGAAATGTTGGCCAGTGCACTAAAAGAATTCCCTCCTCTTAAGTTGTCCCACAGAATTTATAACATCTACTTGCACCACCAGAACTCGGATTGAGACTTAACAGCTCATCTGAACAGTGGTAACTCGGGTGCAGCTGTACTGCCTTGGTAGAACACTGCAGGTGACTTTGTTTAATGTGGGATACTATGATTTGCATGTCATCCTGACAGGTTAATGATCAAATTTTAATGTGTCAAACCACCTTGCCACCACCACCTTATTCCCTATTTGCATCTGATCTGATGCATAGTCTTCGTTCATCTATTTTGCAGTTGAAGACTTGTTTTGGACCCCACTTGTTTGAGCCTCCAAAACTCTTTATGGCCAGTATTGGCCCAACCAGGAGCAAAGAATTCCTAAAGACATCGCTCCAGTTATCAAACCACACTGGAGTCTTGATTAGTTTATGTGCCATAGCCTTGGACTGGGCTTGAACCCACAATCTGGTAAGAGTGAGGTAAGCTAACATTTGGAAGTTTGGTGACCTTGCACAAGGTAGTCGATTGTCCCTGCGGATTGGTTAAGAGCGAGATGAGACAAGGAGAATAGAAGAAGGCTGAATTTTTTAAAAAGTCTGGATATGTCAGCTTTAAGTTAGATGGTCAAGTTGTGCAGTGATAGGAAAATTTTATAAGTTTGTTTGGGCAGCTGTTGCCTTGCTGATCTGCACTCCAAACCCCAGATGCTGGCTGTGTGTCCATTGTGAGCTTTCATTTGTATAGCAGCGACCATTGGTGCAGTTGTACAAATCCATCTGTTCATGAAATTGACCTCTGCTGTGATATCTGCTGGTCAATTTATACTGCAGTGGCTATCATAACTCATGTCACTGCAGAGTTCAGGAGTATCTGCACTTTCTCGGTGTTTAACTTGGCTCTGGCCAAGCATGGAATTTGCACTGATGGTCAGAGCTGCAAATCTCCTTCCCTGTAGACCGGTCTGCTTTCATTGTTCTTATCGTTTAGAGTGTTAAAACAAGCCCAGATGTGTTATGACACCCCTGGAGCAGGTGGCAGTTGAACCTGGGCCTCATACCTCAGAGGAAGGGACATTGCCACTGCGCCTCAAGAGCCCTTCATATAGGGTGTACCATGGAAGTGCCTGTGTTTTCTGAATAAGTAAATTTAAAAGCACTTCCAGAAAGATGGTGGATCTCTGGGAATCATGCTGTTGCACTCTGGCTAACCCAAGCAGTGAGAGACTTATTGGAGGAGACAGCCTGACTGCTTACGAGAAGTTTATGCCTTTGTGTTTGGGAAGCACTTGCAGTAATACTTGGGGAAGTTGCAAAATGAAGGCACATCAAATATCTATTTGTATTTTGAACTAGGGAGGTGGTAGCCTAATGGCAATGTTCCTCAACTAATCTGCAAGACCAGGCTTATCTCAGTAATGGTGAATATGATAACAATCATTGTTTGTTTGTAAAGTCTTATCTGGGTCACTGGGAACAAAAGCTGCTGCCCTTAATTGGTCTGGCCTACATGTCATTTTCAGACCTGTGTGCATGTCAGGTGCGCTCATTGAATTGTTCTGCTCTGTCTTTTGGCCTCTCTTGTTTTTCTCTTTTCCTTTCCCTCTCTGTCTGTCTGTCTCTCATTTTTATTTCCATTTTTATTTCTCTCCATCTTTCTTCTTTTTCCTTTCTCTTGAGCCTTACCTTGGAAGCTCTTGAACTCCTTTTCTATCCACATCTACTTTACAGTGCACCTTTAAAAGATTTCTTTCACCTAAACATGTCTCCTCTGGCTCATAGCTGTTTTTGTCCAGTGACAGTTCTGTGAAGCACTTCTGGATGTTTTATAATGTTAAAAGTGCTACTTATAAAGATAAGCTGTATTGGTTCATCCTACAAGGCACGGTGGCGAATAAGTCTGTTGCCGCTGAGTGGAATTAAAACTTTGAAGTAGTTTATCCACTGTTTGTCAAAGCACTTTTTAATTTCTATGGCAGTGATTCCATGTCCTTCGTTCGTACACTTGGAGCTGTCTGGAGTCGGTTTGAGTTTAGAGATATAAATAGCGTAACAGATGTCTGGATGTGTTATAGATCTAACAGTATGTGGAAGGGGATGTCTGACAAAACAGCTTGTGCTTTTTGTCATCGCTCAAACTCTGAATTATACTGCTGTCTATATCCCCACCACCTGTTTTATTGAGTACCTGCATGTAATACATTGTTAAGGAATTGGAATGGCTAAGATCCTCCAACCACCAACAAAAGTAGTTAACTAAAAGTATCTTTCGGCTGTATTGAACCGATAGTGTTTCATCTATGGTTTTCTTCAGTTTCATCCTATCAGCTGATGTAAATTTCAATCTAAGCAGTCTTCTGGTTTCTTAATTCTGTTGCAGTATTCTGTTGTTTTCTGATATGTGCAGTTTTGACAAGCTTTCACTTACTGCCAGACATCTTGATAAGATGATAGACCACCTTCTTGACCTCGTGATGGTGCGTGAATTGGGACTATATAGAGCTAGCACTAGTGAAGGAGCAAGTCAGTGCAGTACGTGTAGAGGTAATGTTTTGCATAAGGTACTGCTTCATTTGTAACGTCAAAAGTGTCTTTTAAGTTTGCAAATTGGCAAGGTTAGTGTTTGAAAGTGTCAGACTGTATCTGAACTCAGAAATGGCTAGAAAATGAAATGTACAGTTATAACCATTTTTTTAATGTAGAAAGATGATTAATCCTGAAAGTTGGTGATCCCGACCTCAATTTCTTTTTCTTAGAATTGAAATTTATTTTGTTTTCTGCCCTGTTCTCCCTGTTCTGAGAATTTGGCCAAGTAATCACTTTTTATTTCCGAGCCTCTATTGTGTGTTGCCAGGCAAATTAGAGAAGGGATCGCAACTAGGGCTGATCCATTCCACATTAGTGCAGTAGGCAATGGGGAATCACTGGATGGATTTTCTGCCCTTTTCTGCTTAAATTGAACACATTCCCTACAGCTTGGGGATTGATCAGTTCTGGAACACTTCAGGTTTGTTGTGCACAACAGTATCACGTGGGATAGCATATATTGTCTAGTTTTGGTCTGTGCAACTTTAAAGAAGAAAAGAACTTATTTTAAATGGCATCTTTTACAATCATGGGGCATCCTTGATGTGGTTTATAGCCAGTGAAACACTTTGTAGTGTTATGAAATAGCAAATGCAAAATACAATTTGAGCATATCAGGATCATGAAACAGCAAAATGTTGAACAGAATAATCTGAAATAAATATTGACCAGAATGCAGAGATCTTCTGCATCTGCCTCATCCGAAAGACACCATCTCCAATATTGCAGTACTAGACTGAAATGTCAGCCAAGATTATCTACTCAAATCTCTCTGGTGGTTTGCTGTCTTGGGCTACACAACTGCCATTTGTGTCAGTGACTGTTCTTAAAATAAGTGGCACAGTTGTGATCAAATACTCTTTAGGTATAGTCTACACATTATATGATATCTCCCCACTTCTGATCCTCTGTCTAAACCAGTTCATAACCAACCAATCTCCTGAATTACCAACCCTTCCACACATTTTCATGTCATTAAAGTTTATGCATTGCCCTGAAGACCACCATTGATAGAGAACAGTAAAATACCAAGCAGATTATCAGATTTTATTGTTTAATATATTAGATGCCTTTGATTTATAGGACATATAATTAAACTGCATAAATTGTTCCATTGTTTAATGTTGTTGTGCTGCGTAGTTAATCTACATTATTATCTGATCAGCACATGGCTGTCCTGGCTAGTGTTTAATTGTTTGCAGTGTACAGTACATTCTTGACCACATCAAGTGGCCCAAACTGTAGTCACAAAGTGATTCACTTCTCTCCTTCTCAGTTAGTTTAAAAAAGACTATTTTGGAACTTCATTAAACCTTCAGAGTATTCGTAGCATATAACCTTATGTTAGCTGTTTTCCACTTACTGATTGCAAATGTTTCTGCCATGATACAAGTCAACTTCTTAGCTTACAGTCAATTTCAAGTCAATTTTTGTACTAACCATTCTTTGTTTCTGTATCAAAAGCACTTGCTGTAACAGAAAATAACCTAGGAAGAGCTAATTTATCCACCGTTTTCCTTAGCTAATTCTCTTTATTTTCACCATATGGGGGAGAGTTGACCAGACAGAAGTAGATTCTAATGTAATGGACATTTGTGTCTGAGCATAAGCTGGACTTTCCCTGCAGGTTGCAGCTGTAGTAACCTATCCCTGTTGTGACTTTCTACTATCTGTTGCAGTTGATTTATCAAACCTCTTACTTAGTTCCGTATACCTCACATTCTGAAAGGGTTT